ATCCTGCATAGTAGAGGGGTATGCTTGCTTTACTTGTACCTTCAGTTGTAGACTATCCAAGGCATCTACGAACTGATCCCTCAGCAACAACTTGAGGAGATCGGGTGGTGCAGTTGGGTAGGCCTTGTGTGCCATACTTTCAAAGTCCTGTGCCAGCTCTTGCAGGCTCTCCCCTTTAGCACGGACTCTCGTCCTAAACCTAGCCCTATAGACTTCCGACTGATTTTGGGTTCCATACCTGAGTTCTAGAGCCGCTACCAGTGCTCTATAGTTGTGTCTGTCGTCTGCTGACAACTGTCCGAGTATTTCCAGTGGTTGTCCTTTCAAGCTCGTTGCCAGATATACTGCTTTCTGTTCCTCTGTCCATCCATTCACATCTGCCAGTAGCTCAAACTGTGCTCTATATGCTTCCCACGGTGCTTTCCCATCGTGTTCCTGTGGCTTCCTTCTTACTGAATCACTCCTAGTACTGACATTCATATCTGGGATGTGACTTCTAACAGGACTGAAAATGTCTGCATTAGGGTTTAGCTGCGAAGTCTGGAAGGGGCTTGCTATTGTCTGGGGCTGAATAAGTCGATGTTTAATGTATCCTCCTTGTGTAAAAGACAATAGATCATCCTTTAATGTATCTAATTCGCTTTTAAATTTACTAATGTTTTCCATTTGTACCTTTTGCCACAGTTGTTGACTTTCCTGTAGTTGCTGCTGACTTTCTTCATGTTTCCTTTCTTGTTCCAGTTGCCACTGCTGTAATCGAAACAAGAAGAGATTTTCTTTTTCCTCCAACAACTGCTGTAATCTTTCTTCTTGTTTATTTTGCTGTTCGAGCTGCCACTGTTGCAGGTTTCTTGCAACTGGTGTTGTCGTTCTTCTTGTTTATTTTCCCGTTCTTTTTGTTTATTTTGCTGTTCTTGTATTGCTGCCATCAAATCTGCTAAGCTGTAGTTTGATTTGCCACTTCTCGTTTCCATTTTTTTCCCGTCCCACTCTCTGACACCAATTTGTTACATCTCCGTTCGTTAGTTAATTTTCCGTAAATCTGTTCCGACGAAACTTTAGCGACACAAGTCCTTTCTTAAATGAAACTGGTTTATTCTTTCTGAATACAACTTTCCGATACACTTAATTTCATCAGTCGCGCTATAACAAACGCTATAATTCTCAACGAACGTCTCACGTGCTCGACTTCAACAATACTCAGTTCAATTACACATACTCTTCCCGTCACTTTGTGACCGTGTTATATATACAAGACTAACACATATCTAGTAAACGCTAGAGCATTCATGAAGGAACAGGATATTTCTAGAAGGAGGTGGCGTGATACTAATCATGTGACCTCGCTGATGCAACAATGTATTATTTCAATAATAAATACATGTACGTATATGATAGCCAATGAATGAAATAGCTAATATACTATTGTTGTACAGAATTGTTGAAATTAGTAATATAACTAACAATTAATAACTACTCTTCATGTAGATAGTACAGCACTTTACTATAAAAACATACATACTGTTATGTCTCTGTTCATTTGTTAATTTCCGGTATAAATTCTTTCAGAGGAACTTCAGCGATATAAGTCCTTTTTTAAATGAAACTAGTTTATTCTTTCTCGATACAACTTTGGAATAAACAGAATTTCCACAATCACTTTAACTGAACTACTTTTATAAACACACGCTATAATTCACAGCGATTCAAACACTTTACATACTTAACTCAGTTATCAATCTATACAATTCTGCCGTGCTTATATACTAAAAAAGAGGGCGCCTGGAACAGACTAGAGTTGCCAGGACAATTCATGATTCTTCGAGAATCTCATCATTTAGAATTAGTAACAATATTTATACTAATTTAAGTCTAGCTCCCCAAGCAGAGTTACAACAGCATGATGATTTGTTGACTTTTCATTGGATGTTTGTGGATTTTATGTAAATGGCCATGTAATTGTTTAAGCTATATTTCATGCAAAATTACTTCCAGATTTAATTTCATAGCACCACCACCGTAGCATTAGCATGCTTTGTATGTTGATTTTGCTTCACACAATATGTGTTGGCTTTTGATGTAACATATTAGAACCCCCTTTCAAACATTCTGCGTACAGG